AGAATGTTGTTACAAATAACTCACGAAGTATTCCTAGTAAAAACTTGGGCAGAAAATTTCGGCCGTTTGTTTTGTTTTGGTGTCTGAGCAAGTTTTACCTCGAGGAACATGATTCGAGATGATCAAAAGAAGGAGTCTCAATCCAGAATAAAGAAAAGAAATAAGTGAATCCAAAAGGCAGAAACAGATGAAAATGTGAAATGCTCAAGACATGGCTGAAGACACGAGCACTGCATTCCCCGTTTTGATCAGAAGAAGCTTTAGAAGAATGAACTAACACCTGCAGCTAGCAAGCATCAAGGTTCTGATCAAAGTCTGCGTGAAGAACCATTCAAGACCCAAGATCAAGCTTCAGAAGAGTTATAGATGGAAATTTTGTAACTCATAGATGATATGCTTGTTTAGTTTCTTTTGATTTTGATTATTGATGTAATAACAGGATCGACCGAAGCCTCGACGGAACCTCACTCGACTCCTCAACTCATCATTCCATAACTCTCCTTGAACTACACGCAACCTGATTCCCTTATGACCCGGGATATGTAGGTTGTCCAAAACCAGGACTCGGTTGCATCCTTTCCTATGCTTATTTTCCCTTTTGAATTAAGATTTCGTCAAAAACTAGTCACACGACTCACTTTGTCTTTGCCTGAAAACTCTTCATGTTCTCAAGCAAAGAGGGGCAGTTGTGAGTACCTAATTTTTTAACATACTTGGGATTATTCAACACTTTTTTGTAAGTAAATAATTTTAAGTTTAATCTACATATTTTAACCTTTATTTCATTTTTAGTAGGTTTTACTTAAGAAAATTAAAAATAACAAAAAAATAATATGTTCTTGATTTTAAAATATTTAGCTAGTATTTTTAATTTACACTCTTAAAAGGAAAAAAAATATTAATTAAAGCAAGAGTCAATGAGTCATTTCCATGTGGCAAGATTCTTTCTTATCTTTTATAACAAACTCACATGCTCTCCCTCAAAACTCACATGCCCATACACACTCTTTTTTTCTTGGCCACCAATTAATCCCTATACCTATACCTATATATCTTCCACACACACAACACACAAAGGGAGAGACCTAAACCCCAAAAAGAAGAGCAGCCGCCCTTTCCCAAAGATCCAATTCCCCTTCTCCAAGAGAGACTCACCCACCTCCACCCGAAGACCGCCGGCACCTCCCCAAAAATGGAGAACTCTCCATCGTCTCTCTTCTCTCAACTGAGAGACAACAGCCACCCTTTCATCTCTCTCGATCGAGCCTAATTCCACCCTACCGAATCTCTTAACCAGCCGACGCCCAACCTTATTCCGCCTCTGCCATTGCCCAGCAACCGCCGTCAAAAACTCGATGTTGTCGAACGGCCACCAAACAACCTTGAGTCTGTCCCAAAGCCAGCATCAAAAATCCAATGAAACACTATCGAAAAGCAGCTCAAAGCATCCATAAAGCTCACTCCAAAATCACTGAAATACCATAATGTTTGTCCAAGGTTAAGTTAGTTGGGTTCGATCGGATTCGAGGTCGCCGACGCGGTTCATTAGCTTGATCCAAATCTTGTTGTGTTTTGCACACAAAATTCATTTGGAGCATTTTGGTAATGAAATCAGAAAGTTTTCACATCATTAAAGCCTTTATTTGGCGTCTTCTGTCTATTCTCGCACATCTAGGTATTTATTCTCAATCCATATACTCAAATTTTACGCTGATTTGGATTCTGATTGTGCCATTAAACTTGGTGATTTTGATTTCACCTGTTATATCTGTTTTATTACATGGATTGGTGTTGAATTCAATTTATAGTTCTGTCATCCATCGTTGAACACATGATGTGTTACTTGAGATTTAATAATTGTGATTTAAACATATTTTTACATGCTGTCAATGTGAAATCTGGGCAAAAACAGGAACAAAAATGACTTCACGTAGTAACGAAAAAATGTGATTCTAATGCCTTGAGCTATGAACTATTTTGGCAAGCATTTGTGTTGTCTCCAGTAGTTCGTTTAAGTGAGCTTAGTAATTTAGAGAGGTGATTTTGCAAAGAATTATTACTGTAATATTCATTTAGGGCCACTGAAGTTGTGTATTTGCAAATGAACGCTTGGGTCGAGTTAATTCGGACTGACATGCTACAAGATAAAGTCATTAAACTGGTTTATTTTTATTTTTTTTTTGTGCTAAGAAAAACTGACAATGTAATAAGATTGGATATAGTATAGTTCGTAAGTATTTGTTTCTTTAGTTTACTGTATGTAATTACTAGTATTACTTTAATTTTTTTACTTAATTAACTTAAGTGAGTTATAGTTAAATAAATATGAAAAACCAAGGGTGGCCACAGATAACTATTGAACTAATTCTAGTTTTCATAACTTTGGTCCTTTACAATTAGCTAAAATTAGTATAGAAAAAATAACTTGAACATCGTAGTTTGCTTTAGGCGCGTTTCTAATCTACTATCGTGATTATGTACACGTTCGCATAAAATAATTATGATTCTAAAATTAAATCAAGGTACGCGTTCGCGCGACTTTGGCAAAAAATAATCTTAATAATTAATAAAGTGTTATTAATTATGTACACATACGCGTGACATAATTCTTGACACGCCAAATAAAACGAGTACACGTACGTGTGACTCGTTTCAAGATAGTTCCATAATTATGAATAATCAAGCAATCTAAAAGCGGTAAAAGGTAAAATGCACATAGGTTCTAAAATATATAATTAAAATAATTTAATTAAGCCAGGTATAATTAAAAGCGACCGTACTAAAATTACGAAAATCGGGATTGCCTAACACCTTCTCCCGGGTTAACAGAATTCCTTACCCGGTCTTCTAGTTTCGCAGACTTTAAACAGAGTCAATTTCCTTGATTTGGGATTTAAAATAAACCGCTGACTTGGGACACCATAAATTATTCCAAGTGGCGACTTTAAAATTAAATAAATAATTTCATTTCGAATAATGTCATTTAAATTGGAAAAACTCCCCTATCCCCTCGGAAAAAAGGAGGTGTGACAATAGGTGATCGATAGTTTCTTCCTCTGTGTTACATAGTGAGCAGGTTGTATCTTCCAATAGCCTCATCTCCTTAATCTATCTCTTGTTAATAGTTTTCTACGTGCAGCCAGGAATATAGTGAATATCCACTTAGGTAGCCCAGCATTGATGTATATCATCCTTCTCCATGGAACCTTACTAAACTCTCCTCTAAGTTTCAAGTCCATGGCCTTGATTGGAAATGTTTTCATTCTCAATACCTCTTCTTCTGAGTAGCCAGCTTCCTCAAAGTATTTCTTTGCTTTTAATATCTTCTGGATCATCCACGATGCTTGCTTTGGCTCAGCATCCCACATTGAATTGTACTTCTTATAGTATATATGGACCCATTGAACCCACATTTTGTCTTTAATCTTGCATAGTTTCCATAACAGCTTGCAGATAGCTGCTCTATTCCATATGCCTATATCTAATAGATTTAACCCATCTGTTGCTCTTGACCAACACAATCTGTCCCAGGCCAGGAGCGCTTTCTTGGTAACCTCCATACCTCCTGTCCACATGAACCTTCTACACATGTTTTCAATTAATTGAATTGGTTTCTTAGGCAGTAGAAATATCTGAGACCAAAACACTTGTATAGAGAACAACACACTCTTAATAAATTGAATTCTTCCTGTATAGGATAGAAATCTAGTAGTCCAAGATTGTATTCTCCTTAGCATTTTCTCAATAAGGGGTTGACATTGCACCAGTGATAGTCTTTTAGTACTCAAAGGCACCCCCAGGTATCTCACTGGTAGAGTCCCTTTAGAGAAGCCTAGTATTTGCAGTATTTCCTGTTGTATTTCATCCTAGACTCCTCCAAAAAAAATGAAGTTTTTTTCTCATTTTGTTGTTACTCTATTTCGTTAGTTGGCTGATTTTTGCTGATGCTTGTTAGATCATAGATGGCAGATGCTTGGAATGTTGCTTTTGCACTTTTGTTATTACTCTATTTCTTCCAAATATCATATCAAACATAAATATTCAACCAAACATAACATCCACGAGTATTGTCTAGTAGGTAACAACCAGCTTAGCACACCATGTCCCAACGTCCAGTCCACTGTACACTGCATATATATCATCTATTCAGTTAATGTATCAAACTAAAATTGTACCAAACTAAAGTAAGAAATACTAAACTGTATCGAACTACTTTGGTATGGTATTTGGTATACACAATTAATAAACCGAATACCGAAATACTGAACCGAAACTTTTAAATACCAAAATGAAGTACCGAATGTCCACCCCTAATAATAGATGCACATATATAGTATCACCGCTACAGAATAGCAAAAGATCATCAGCAAAATTAAGTTGTACTATATTCATTTTAGTACACTTAGGGGGATAGTTGAAATTTGAATTCCTCTTTAGTGTCTTCATTAGTCTAGTTAAGTATTTCATGGCCAATACAAATAGATAAGGAGACAAAGGATCACTTTGTCTCAGTCCCTTTTTAGCAGAAAATGGGGTGGAATGTTGTCCGTTGATGATGATGGAATAGGAGACACTTCTCACACATCTCATAATCCATTAGACAAATTTTTCTGGTACTTGTAGACTCTTTAGGACTTGTTCCATATAATCTCATTCAATAGAGTCGTAAGCCTTCTTCATATCTACTTTCAACATGCATTTTGGGGATAAGCCTTTTCTATCATATCCATTAACAAGTTCATGACTCAATATTATGTTGTCATTTATCAATCTGCCAGGCACAAATGCAGATTGGTTTCTATCTACTAGATCATCCATTATGCCCTGCAGTCTGTTTGTTATCAAATTCGAGATGATTTTGTATAGGAGTGTGCAGCAAGATATTGGTCTGAACACAGTGATTCTAGATGGATTAGTTACCTTTGGTACTAGGGTAACAGTTGTGCAGTTGATAGGCTGATATAGGTTATCACTTGAGAAGAATTCCATCACTGTATCTATTATCCTGTCCCCAACCACAACCATGCCTTTTTGAAAAATAGTGCATTGAATCCATCACAACCAAATGCTTTGTTATCACTAATACCAAGCAGTGCCTGGTATATTTCTTCTTTATAAACTCCTTTCACCAGCTGTAGTTGTTGTTGCCTATTCACCAATGGGCCATCCCTCATAACTACTGGATTAATAGCAGGCAAACTTTCAGTTGTTGATCCCAATAGCTGCTTATAGAAACCAAGCACTTCCTCTTCAATCTCTTGTTTTGTCTGCACCACTTCCCCATTTCTCATTATTAAGCTCTTGATTTTATTCTGAGAGTATATGTTTTTCGTACTTGCAAAGAAATAAGTTATGTTAGCATCTCCTAGCTTCAACCATTGTACTCTAGACTTTTGTTTCATGATACTTTCTTCCACCCCAAGCCATTTCTCCAGTTGTACCTTTGTGTCATTTTCTTCTAGAACCATATCCTCAACTTGTCCAGGTTCCCTCATTTGCTTCTGTAATTCACAAAGTTTCTTCCTACATTGATTAATATTTTCTCCTACTGCACTGTACTTTGCATTATTAAGATCTTTCATAGCTTGTTTCATTTTTTCAGTCTCTTCCACACATCTTTCATAAAACTTCCTTCATTACTCCCTTGCCATGCTCCACTAACTATGGATAGAAAGTCTATCTATTCTGCTAGATAGTTTAGGAACTTGAATGGTTTGGGAACTTTATCTTAATTATCATCAAATGTAATACTCAGAGGAGAGTGATCAGAACATTCTGGATCCATTACCCTTACTTTCAGGTATGGCATTTGAAACATCCACTCAGCATTCACCAAAGCTCTATATATCTTGCTATATGTGTGACCATTTATCTAGGTGAAATACCTTCCATTAGTTATCATTTCTACCAAAGTAGTATCATCAATAAAATTATTGAAATCTCTAATCTCCAGCTCTTGCACAGGGTTCCCAATTGGCATATCCTCCACTGATCTGATAGCATTGTAGTCTCCCATGATTAGCCACAATGCCCTGTTGCACATTGTTCAAACCAGTTAAGTCATCCCATAATCATCTTTTATTTTCCAGTGTATGTAGGCCATAGACTGCAGTAAATGTGAATCTCATATTCATACTTTTGATGTGAACTGCAACATGAATGAATTGAGAGGACTTTCCCAATTCCAAGCATTCTATCTCAATAGTATCCTATAGTAACCAAATCCTTCCTCTACTACTATGTTCATAGTTGGCCAGACAATCCCACCCTGTAGTGATTTTCTTTATTATTTGCACAGCCTTCTGCTCCTTTATTTTTTGTTCAAATAATGCTATCATAGTTATGTTGTTGCTTCTTATAAACCTCTTAACCTCTTTCTGTCTAGGGGTCTTATTCAATCCCCTAATATTCCATGTAACAAGCTTCATACAAGAATAAATAGGGATCGTGGATATCCTTCCTCTCCTTCTTGACTACTCTGTCTACTTGTACCCTCACCCATTTACCTAGAGAATATTAGCTACAATCCAGATTCTTCCAATATGTTGAACCCATTGATCGTGTTGACTGCATCATTTCCTGATTTCTCCCTGTTCCAAGCTATTGATTTTCCTGTAGCTTTTTTCCATGTATGTTCCTCCTCCCCTCTAGCTAGCCTTGTAGGTGAGCTAACAAGGTTGTTGTTTGTATTTGCACCAGCAAATATTGCTACCTCAATACTATTGTTAGGTGTTGTATGTGGTTGCTTCATCTTATCATTTGGATTAGCTTTGGGCTGCCATTCTTGTTTCTGCTTATGTTGCTTAGGCTTAGGTTTAGGTGTTGGCTGCTCTCCTTTGTTGCACCTGTGTCCAACTTGTAGATAGGTATGACAAAACTCAGGGATCCAGTCATAAGATACCTCTTGCATGAATTCTCTCCCATTCGGATCTGTCACCTTAATGGCTCTGGGAGGTTCTTTAGTAATATTCAACTCAATTAGCACTCTAGCATAGAAAATTCGATCCAACTAAGTGGTACAAACATCTGCATATAAGGGAATCCCTAGTCCACTGCTTATCCTGCTTAATGACTTTGCTCCCCAATAATTGAGTGGTAGGTTAGGAAACTTGACCCACACAGGGATGGTCTGCAATACCTCCTTATTGAAATCAAAGTCAGTTGACCATACTTTCATGATAATCGGCTTATTATTTAGCATATGAGGTCCAGAGTACAAAACTTCATCTCTGTCGCATAGAGTTAAATCTTACCACAAAATAATGGAAATATACTTTTGGCTTTGTCGTAAAATTCTATGCTGAAGAAATAAAACGCTCCATAGCTCCTATGGTTGGGGCTCCTCCAACGACATAGAGGATCAGGGCTTGCTTCCATTTCTGTGTCTCCTCTTCCACTTCTTTCTTGCATAATTTAACAATTATTTCGCCATTTTTTATAGTCGGTGCAATGAAACTTAGATCCATTCCTTTCGCTGTCAATCTGTTCCCCACAAAAAAATTTGCCCACTTCTTTTGGTCTTGCTCTGTATTCTCAGCTGGCAATTTGTCTTTGGTTTTATCAGCATCTTCCATGTCCCAATTTCCGTCAAATTACCAGTAGTTACTACTGAATTTGCTCACATGCATGTCAGTTTTCCTTGAGCTAGGGTTAATGTCCTTCAACTGATTACCAGTAGCTATCTTCGCACTATCAATCATCGGTAAAGGAGTCATAGCAGGAGGTGTTTTCATACCTTCCTTCGTGGCTGATAATGGTGGCCACTGTTCCATTGAAGCTTCCTTCGCATCTGCGATCTCAGCACTCTGCGTTTCAATGATTTGGGTATTGTTGCTAGTCCTCGTATAATCCACCAGCTGAATCGTAGTTGTATTTCTCTTCGGCCTATCCCTCCCCATTGCTTGTCGGCGTACGTTAGCAGGAGCACGCTATCATGCGCCGAAAGAGAAGAGAAAGTATTTATTTTTAAAAAAAAATATAAATTATTATGACTTATAGTATTTTTTATGTAATTTTTATTATAAAAATTTTATATCTAATTTATAGTCAAAGTTAAAAAAATTTGACCCTCGTGATTCGAACCATGACTAATAAATAGAGACGAAAGGAGTAAAAGGAAAAGAAGGGCATGGTAAATTGAGGGAAACAAAAAAGAATGAGATGGATGAAATTTTTTATGCTTAATCAAATGTTCTGTTTTCGAGATAGGAAAATGTAAAACTTCTTTTACAGAGCTTTCTTTCTTTAATGAACTTTATTAGCGGGATGAAGAATAAAAATAGTCACATGGTTATTAAAATATTGGGAAGTAATTCTGTTCCTGTCAGAGTTGTAGACTTAACAGTATCTTTAACAACTCTAACGCACACGTGTACCTCGTGGGATGACGATTATTTTCTCGGGTGTAATAAGCATCCAAAGCTAACAATCTTCAATTAGTGCGCTGATCAAGAAACTAATTTAGAATTAAGTAGAAAAGATTAATTCAAACTTAAAAGGTGAGTGTGGGCAGTTCTTTGGAAATGATTCTTTAAATATTTCGAAAATTTTTCTAAAAATTAAAAATGCTGTTGAAAATAATTGTTGTGTTCCCAAAAAAACCTTTAGTTTTTAAAGAAAAAAATATATATTTTTTGAGAAACAGAAGCAAATTTATTTTTCTTGTAGTGAATGCAACACAGAGAAATTATGTAATCGTGTTGAAAAAACATCACTGGCCCAAAGACCCCATAGTTTCTCATAATTAAAAAGATTTCATTTTCGTAAACACAAAGTGGAGGTCTCTCATTGGCAGGAAAAAGATAAGGGCCTAATCAATTCATCATAATTATTAAAGATGATGTTACCTTCCTTGGCTCCAACTAATTCAATCACTTACGTGTGGTTTGGTTTATACTAGAAGTATGGTTCTTAAATGGTTTATGTTTAATTAATTAAAGGATTTTTTTTATCTTTAGTTGAATCCAAACATTACGATAGTTTATATTCTATCACAAAAAATAATACTTAAATTTGCATAACATATATAGGTTTTAATTAATAGGACGGAGTTTAATAAGGTTACTTAAACACTATAAGTTATGCAACGATTAATTTTTTCCATCTTATGCCAAATTTTATGCTTCGCTTANATATATATACATGACTTCTATTTGATATTTTCTGAACTTTATTACTCTTATCTAAAGACTTTCTTATTCATCAGCTCAAGTTTAAAGCTAAGCAGGTAACTAATCCTCTTCTTCATATGAATCTTTCTGCTTATGCAACAAATAATAAACCTTATTATTCTAACCTCATAATACGGTATGTTCTTTGTTTCAGGGAAAGAAGATGGCACAAATTCTGCTACATGGTACTCTTCATGCTACTATATTCGAGGTCGATAAAATCCATACTAATTTTGGCAAAGAACTTTTCAATAAGGTGCGTTAAAAACAATCCTTCCTTTCCACTCTTCAATTTAATAGGAGTCAGAATTTTTAGTTGGGGTGGAGGGGTCAAAATATAAAGAGGTAAACCCACGAAAAAGTTAAAGGCTATAGTATATATGCATTTTTTTAATCTAGTTACTCAGTGTAATTTTGCCTCCGCCATTGATAGTATTAGAACAATACTACAATTCTTTTGCCTTCATTTGTTTGGTTGTGATCCGTTCAGTACATGTACAAATATAGGAATATAATGCCACATTTCCGCTTTTCTTAGATCTATATATGGTTTCAGATGAATAATGGACTGACTTCTTCTTAGTTGTAAGGCGATAAGTTAGTTCATAGTTGTACACAAATGAGGATTTAGGAATTTGGATCAAAAGTGGTGGATTGTTTCCGACCCGACGCAGGATATGGGTAATGGAAACAGTAGTTAGAAGAAAATGAAGGGAACCATTTTTTTCTAAGTTGTAGACGACAAATAGGTTAGTTACTTGAACAAGGATAAGGGGATGGGGGAGTTTGAGGATCTCGTGAATTCAATTATTGCAAAAATTTTGTGTGGTGGGGTTGTTGAAATTGAAGAAAGTTCCTACTCCACTATGAACTTTATTGTAACAAAATTATTCAAAAAGTTACTTAATATTTATTAACTTATTTTTTATAACTAAAACGTCGCTCAATTTTGTCTAATTATCACATGAAGTCAATAGGAGAAAGAAAAGAAATATTGTCTATGATACTTACGGCAAAAATTGAGTGACTTATTAGTTATTAAAAATAGGTTAATCAATAGCGTGATACTTAAGTGAAGTTAAATAATTATTTTAATTAAAAAGAATGATTAAATAATATTGAAGAGCGGGTCTATAAGTTGAAACTAGACAATTAGTATAAAGAACACAAAAGAAAATAGTGTATGTACTCATGAGCTGTGGTAACACATCCACCACAACTTTTTTCCCACCTTAAGCAAAGATATTTTTGGCTTAGAATTACTTTAAGCTTGATTTCAAGAGAGTAATTATTTACTAATATTCGCTGATCAATTAGTATCACTTTCTGCCCCCTTCTCCCAACCACCCCTTTTTTTAGAGTTTAAATAAATTGTGTGCATTTGCAATGCAAAATATATTTATGTAATTAGTTCTTTTATCAGA